AGAGAGAGAGAGAGAGAGAGAGAGAGAGAGAGAGAGAGAAGCCCTTTGAACGCTTCCTCCTTCCGCCTTGCTCTCCCAGTCCCGCTCCTCCTCACTCATTCACGCTACAGTATTTATTGAGTGCCTGCTGTGTGCCAGGCACTGTTCTTGGTGCCAGGACCAGCCGTGAACAAAGAAACAAAAACTGCTGTCCACATGGAGTTTACTTTCTAGGGAAGGGAGACAGAAAATAAACACTGTGAATAAATGAAAGAGTATGATGCATGGTAACAGGTGCTCTGGAGAAAAACGAAGCAGGCAAGGGTCAGCCAGGGGTGGGGGCGTTCAAATTTGCATAGAGTGATCAGGGTGGGCTTCGCTAACCAGGTGGGATTTGAACAGAACCTGAAGGTGGTGGCGTCTCCTATCTTCCCATAGTCCCTATGCTCCACCCCCCTCCCCAAAGCTATTTTCGAGCACTTGTGGGCCACAATGAACGCCAGATCCCTCACTGTCAGCCTCTGTCAATGTCTGCACACTCTTGATCTGCCTTCTCTGAGCCCCTTGTGAAATGGGGAATAGAACCTCTCCATTAAAAGGACCCCTCAGTTAGTGAAAGACCAAGTGTCGGGGCGCCTGCCTGGCTGGGTCGGTAGACATGTGACTCTTGATCTTGGGGGTTGTGAGTCTGGGTCCCACACTGGGTGTAGAGATTACTTTAAAAAATAATAAATTTGGGGGCTCCTGGGTGGCTCAGTCAGTGAAGCATCTGACCTTGTCTCAGGTTGTGATCTCACAGTTTGTGCGTTCGATCACCTCGTTAGGCTCTCTGCTGTTAGCATGGGACCCTTTTGGGATCCTCTGTCTCCCTCTCTCCTCTGCTCCTCCCCCACTCATTGTCCCTCCCTCTTTGATAAATAAAACTTTAAAAATTAAAATAATAATAATGATTAAAAAAGAAGAAAGATTAAATGTAAACTGCATAGCAGGGCCTGGCATGTTAAATGTGCTAAGTACGGTTATTCTTACTGCTGTGGTTACTATTAGTGATTTTATTGTGGTCCTCACATAGCCCTGGGTTTAAATTTTTTTTTTTCAACGTTTATTTATTTTTGGGACAGAGAGAGACAGAGCATGAACGGGGGAGGGGCAGAGAGAGAGGGAGACACAGAATCGGAAACAGGCTCCAGGCTCTGAGCCATCAGCCCAGAGCCCGACGCGGGGCTCGAACTCACGGACCGTGAGATCGTGACCTGGTTGAAGTCGGACGCTTAACCGACTGCGCCACCCAGGCGCCCCTTAAAATTTTTTTAAATGTTTATTTTTGAGAGACAGAGAGAGAGAAAGGGCAAGCAGGGGAGAGACAGAGAGAGGGAGACACAGAATCCGAAGCAGGCTCCAGGCTCTGAGCTGTCAGCACAGAGCCCGCTGTGAGGCTCGAACCCACAAACCCCATGATCATGACCTGAGCAGAAGTTGGATGCTTAACCAACTGAGCCACCCAGGTGCCCCTTTCAGGGCCTCTTAATGGCCATTTTAGATCAAGGTCCTTGGGAGTGGGGGATGAGAGAAAACCTGGTTCCGAGGGAGGCTTGGGATTACTATGGGTGATGTGGCCAGGGTCCTCACTCTGGGGTCCTAAGGGAGGAGGGGGCTTTGGGTCCGATTTCTGGGTCCCTGGCTGGGGAAAGGGCTTTATGCCTCATCTTCTGGATACCTGGGTCAGGAGAAAGGCTGAGCGCTTGGATTTGGGATTGCCACTGGGGAAAACTCCAGGGCCTCTTCCTGGATCTCTAACCCAGCCTACACCCCTTCACTTCCTCTCTCAGTTGGCGAGGCCCGTAACCTTATCCCAATGGACCCTAATGGTCTGTCTGACCCCTACGTGAAGCTGAAGCTCATCCCAGACCCTCGGAACTTGACAAAGCAAAAGACCCGGACCGTGAAAGCCACGCTAAACCCTGTGTGGAACGAGACCTTTGTGTTGTGAGCTTCGGGTGCAGGGGATGCTGTGATGACTGACAGAGAATGATCGGAGGGTCCTGGTGGCCCACAAGACCCCAGAGAGCAAAGTGTGGGAGGTGTTAGGATAGGGGGATCCCAAAAAAAGGCGGTGGGAGAGGGAAGAGAGTGGCTGAGGGAGAGGGCTGGAGTTAGAGAAGCAGAGAGACAGATATCTGTGCATTTAATCTCCATCAAAGCCCACTACTTTAGAGTGAAACAGATCGGAGGGGCGGGGGGGATGCTCAGAAGAAGGCACAAACCCAAAGAGACAGAATGGGGAGTGGGTGTGAGCAGGGGAGGGTGGCAGGAATAGAAAGGGAAGCCAATCAACAGAAAGACAGAAGGACAGAGACCTAGAGGAAGGAGGGGGGCACAGAGACTCAGGAGAGAGATCTGGAGAGAAAAGACAGGACACAGGGATGGGAAGGAGCCAAGAATGTGGGAGGACCGGAGAGAGACTGAGAGCTGTCTACATGTACTCAAGGTCCTGATATTGGGGGAGACCCCCTTCGTGGAGGATCAGAGACGACAGGACACTTTAGAGAGCAGGAACAGACCCCAGCTCGCCCCAGAAGGGCTTGCCTGCTCCACCAGCACCAGGGATGGGGAGCAGAGGCAGCGGGGAGCTGGACCCTCACTCCGCCACCCCCTTCCCGCAGCAACCTGAAGCCAGGAGACGTGGAGCGCAGGCTTAGCGTGGAGGTGTGGGACTGGGACCGGACTTCCCGCAACGATTTCATGGGCGCCATGTCCTTCGGGGTCTCGGAGCTGCTCAAGGCGCCGGTGGACGGCTGGTGAGGGCAGGGCAGGGGCGGAGGCTGTGCCTTGGCCTGTCCATCTCTGTGTACAGTCTGTCTCCTTGGGCCACCCTCATTCTGCCTCCCTGCACTTCTCCCTCCCTTGTCCCCGTCCCTCTCCCCTCCTCCTCCCTTCCTGTGTCCCCCACTCCGTGTCTCTCTTGCCTATCCCACTCTGTCCATCTCCGTGTCTTTCTCTCTGTGTCTCTTTCCCCCCTCTGATACCTCTGCCTCTCCCGCGGGTGCCCCCCTTCTGCCCGACTCCTGCCCCACTCTGGTCTCCTTCTGTATGTCAGGTACAAGTTACTGAACCAGGAGGAGGGCGAATATTACAATGTGCCAGTGGCTGATGCTGACAACTGCAGCCTCCTCCAGAAGTTTGAGGTACTCAGGCCCCACTTCTCCCAGGGGGAGCCCAGCCCTGCCGCCCACAGTTCAGAGCTGCCCCCTCCCTGCACCCACTGGTTGCCCACTGGTCCTGGGACTACAATTCCCAGAAGACCCTGGCGCTCCCTTCCCCCTGCTTTTCTAGGGGACTCCTGCCCCAGGGTATGATGGGAATTAGAGTTCCTATCCATCCCCTTGGCTTGGGGGGTTGGAGTCCCCACCCCTTGCTCTAGGGCATCCTCCTACCTCTCTCGGGGCTCTGACTCTGGCTTTCTCCTCCACCCCCTCTCCCCGCAGGCCTGTAACTACCCCCTGGAACTGTACGAGGTGCGTGGAGCTCAGGCCTGGAATGGAGACATTTTCATCCCTTGTGGTCTACGTCTGTCTCCCCCTGTCTTCTCCCTCCCCTGGTGTCAGTTTTCACACCCACACACGCGGGATGAGCACAGGTTTGGAGGTGGTCTTGTGCTTGTTGAGTAAACCTAGCATTCCAGAGGTGAATCTGACCCTTAACCAAGTCCCCAAGGTGGAGACACAGTCACAGATACTTAAATTCCAGGATGATGTAGTGCATTAGAGGTAGAGCACCCCCCCTCCCCCAGGAGCCTGGAGGAGACACTCACCCAGCCTGGGGGGAAGGTGCTGGGGGAGGGTGAATCCCTGAGGAGGTGACTGCTGAACTGAACTTTGAGTTTTTCTATTTCTCACTGTGGCCTTTCTCTCCTCCATTCATTTTCTCACTCTCTCAACACCTATTCCCTGTTAGCCAAACCCTGTTCTGGGCATAGAATCAGTCCGTTCCCTGGGGAGCTCCGATTTCAAAGTAGGAGAAAGTGACAGATGGAGACATCCTCCTGGAAGGAAGATGTTTGGTAATAGAGCTAGTAGCCTCAGGCACTAGGGAGAATTGGAAGCACCTGGCTCAGCCTGGGAGCGCCAGAGAAAGCTTCCTAGGGAGGGGAGCCCCAGAGGAAGTGCAAGGAGAGGGAGACCATATTTCCAGGCTGAAGGCTAGAAATCCTTCCAGGCAGCAGGAGGAGCAGGCCTGTGGTGGGAGCGGGTGAGGCGTGTCTGTAGCACCACGAGGACAGCGGGGCTGAAGGGGGGAGAGAGTGGGAAGAAGTAGGACATTAAGCCAGAGAGGGAAGGAGTGTGCCTTGTCCTTCACTGGAAGGATTTTATCTTAAACCGGCGGGCCGTGGCAGCATCGGAGGTGGCCTAGGATGGTTTAGGTCAGAACAAGACAAATGCTGTTTGTAGAGAAAAGATGGTGGAGGCAGAGGGGGGAAGAGGGAGGAGGCTCCGTGGAGACTCAGGGGGGAGGAGCGGTAAAGGTGTTCAGGAGCTGGGTGACGCCGAAGATGCAAAAAGGGGGGAGACACAGTCTCTGGCTTTAATGGATTTTGATTTCTGGCTCTGCTGCTTATTTGCTGTGTGACTTTGGGCAAGTTATTTAGTGTCTCTGTGCCAACTTTCTCTTCTCTAAAATGGCGCATGGTGGTGATAACAGGGTTATCTAACAGCATAGAGTGATCTGTCTGAGTGTTAGTTAAATGATAAACCCTCCAGGTTATGGAAAATCAGCACAAGTTCTAAAGCCAAGGAGGGGGGGCAGAGACAGTTTTCCCTTTTCTCTCCCTCTCTTCTCATCCCTTTCGTTCTTGGCTGCTGTCTCTCTTAGAGACATCTCCTTGTCCCCATCTGGGGTCTGACTACCTTCGGATCTCTCTCCTTTCTCACAGCGGGTGCGGATGGGTCCCTCTTCCTCTCCCATCCCCTCCCCATCCCCTAGTCCCACGGACTCCAAACGCTGTTTCTTTGGGACAAGCCCTGGACGTCTGCACATCTCCGACTTCAGCTTCCTCATGGTTCTAGGAAAAGGCAGCTTTGGGAAGGTTGGATTCCTGGGGCTCTGGGGGAAGGGGGAGATGTCTGGGGAAAGATCAGATTTCTGGTCCTTAGGAAGGAGGTACATGGGGAGGGACACTAGACTACTGAGCCCCCCAGAGGGGGGTCAGTGGGACACCTGAGTGCCTCTGAGAGGACAGGCATAAAGATTCTGATGCTTTCCCTGAGGGAGTGGTCAGCAAAACCAGGGTGCCCAGTCCCTGATAGAGAGGGGGAGGATCTGGGATTTCATTTCTTTGTGTCTCTGAAGGGGGAGGGCAGCGACCCCATGATGGACTGGGCCTTTTGGGGCCTCTGTCGCTAGGTGATGCTGGCTGAGCGCAGGGGCTCTGATGAGCTCTACGCCATCAAGATCCTGAAGAAAGACGTGATTGTCCAGGATGATGATGTGGACTGCACCCTGGTGGAGAAGCGCGTGCTGGCCCTGGGGGGCCGAGGCCCGGGAGGCCGGCCCCATTTTCTCACCCAGCTGCACTCCACCTTCCAGACCCCGGTGAGGAAGGAGGGGGCAGAGTCCGGCTCAGGTCGAGCGTCTGCTCTGGGATTCTGAGTTTACAGGCAAAAAGAACCTTCCCCGCCCCGCCCACTCTGACTGGGCGTGGCCAGATGGGTGGGATCCTGACTAGGCGGGACCTGAGCCAGCTTGGTCTTGAGTGGGTGGGTTTTTTTTCTTTTCTTTTTTTTTTTT